TACCAATATACTAAATCTGTAAAACGCATGTGTTTCTACATAATAGACATTTATGGATGTGAGATCCGCATTGTATATCTCAATACGAATAAAACAAGAAAATATATAAAATGCCTTGATACTAATAAGAATATAGTAATGAATGCTCTGGAATGATGATAACAATAACCATGACAACACCATGTAAAAAATCCTTCAATCAAATTACTCACCAATCAGTACATGTAAAAGGTGACCAGTAAAGTGGTCTATAGGAAGGGGGTGATGTGCCCCCGTGTCTCCTCCAATGCCCCACACAATGTAGACCAGGGGTGGGCAACTCCGGCCCTCCAGCTGTTATGGAACTACAAGTCCCATGAGATGTAGGTTCATTGCAAGATTCTCACAGGCATGACTCCCATAGGCACAGTGGGATTTGTAGTTAAAGAACAGCTGGAAGGCCGGAGTTGCCCACCCCTTGATGTGGATGATCCATGATTGCATATACAGTTTACATTTCCTGGGACATGTTGAGATGATTGGATTGAACTCTCATCACTATTCTTCTCTTTGGTGTGTTTATAATTGGTGAAGATCGAATGTTTGGTTGTCGGAAGAACTCGCACTCCACATTTTGCTGACTGTCCTCCAGGTTGCTCACCATACTGTTTATGTCCTCATCACCTTTAGACAGTGGAAGATTCTATTGAGGGCATCTGCCCAGGGCCACAGACAATTGCGGGGGCCCATGGGGATGCGAAAAAACAACAACTTGCACTTCATTGCTCCTAATAAGTTAATTTCAGACCCCGAACGTGCCTAGCAGGATGCACATTTATTTATTATAGGCATTGCTCACAATTTGAGGTGCCCACACACCTTGCGATCCCGCGATTGTATGATTATCGTAAGGTGTGTGGAAGCCGTGCGGCGTTTCTGTTGGTAAGTTGCCACGACTTTTATCTTAGGAACATGTTCGAAAACCCACCGAGCATCGTACGATGTTCGGCGGGTGTGTAGCATGTTCGTAAGATAAAAGCCGGACTGCCCTTTCGGCATTGCGGTCATCGGAAGCCCGCCCCTCAGGGGGGCACGGCTTGCGATCATCGCAAGTACAATCTGCCTGTCCAAGATAGGCAGATCGTACGTTTTTTTAAGTACCTTACAACCATCGCAATACAAAAGTCTTGCGATTGGTTGTAAGGTGTGTGCCCAGCCTTACACAGCACTTTTCGTACTGCACATTCACATCAGTCCCTGCCCTCAAGGAGCTTACAATCTAAGGTCCCTCTCTCACATGCATACAGGGCAGTTTACACAGGAGCCAATGAACCTTCCAGCATGTCTTTGGAGTGTGGGAGGAAACCAAAGTACCTGAAGGAGACCCAGGCAAGTACAGGGGGAACATGCAAACTCCCTGCAGATAGTGTTCTGACCTAGATTTGAATCGAGGGCCCTCAGTGCTGCAGCACAGAAGTGCTAACCACTGAGCCACTGCGCAGCCCACACAGCTCAGCGCAAATGTTGCTCAGTGTGAATTTGTGCTCAACAAATGCACAGAAAAAAAACAAAAATGCCATTGATCTCGTTTCCATGATACTCAGACACCTGACCCGAAATCACCCTGTGATGATCCTTTCCCCTGCAATAATGGGTCTTACGCATTACAACTGAACAGCAACCCCTCTTCTATGCTCCCACAATGTTCTTTAATACCTGTTCTACAGCTTCTGTTATATGAGTCTGCAGAACTCTGCACCATGAGGTGGCTGTATATTTCTGTTTGTATTCCTTGTTGCAGGGCTTGCGTGCCCTACCCTTGTTATTTTTGTAACCCTCATGTGAAAAAGCTGATAAAAACCATATAAAACCTTTGTGAAAGAAAAAACAAAAATGCTCAAAGCTCCAAAAGGTGAATATGCTTCTTTGCCATATTTGTCGCACATAAGGCAGCCAATTAAAGTGAATGGACGGCCCTGTGTGCAATATGTGACAAATGCACAAAAACACAATGCATGATGTCGTTCTTTGCAATTGTGAATGGGGGTTATTATCAATTAGTCCTACACAAAGGGGGGAAATTCTAAAAACTGGAGCAGACAGAATCTGGAGCACTTGCCAATGTCAACCCGATCAGCTGCTCCATTTTATTTTCAAAGCTCAGTTTTGTGGAATCCCCCCCCCCAATACATATGGACACCCCCTGTACCTGGATGTATTGTTTTTATACTATCTGCTGCAATAATGTGACCAATTTGCAAAGAGTTTACTGCTCTATACTATCCAATTAAAGCGGTGCTCCATATGGTGCAATAATGTATGTGTACACAGACATTTAAGTGCCCTTTCACACTGAATGCATTGGGGCTGTGCTGGCGGCAGCCACAAAGCAAGATAAGGCAATTTTCCATGTTCCAGATGGGCCCAGTTTGCGTTGCGGTGGTGTGTGCTGAATAAAATATGGCATGCAGTATTTTTATACAGCACAGTGTGCTGTTCATTCACATAGTACCAAACTGTGCCCATAGGACTTGATGAAATGTCACTTGTGACATTTTCAATAAAGCTTTAAAAAAAGTAATCGGTGCAGTACACATGCACGGGTGCTGGCATGAATGGGCCCTAAGCAGGGATGGGCCACTGTGGCCCTCCAGCTGTGCTTTAACTAAAAATCCCATAATGCCTCTGAAAGTCATGCCGGTAACTGTCAGTCTTGCAATGCCTCAGGGGACTTGTAGTTCCACAACGGCTGGAAGGCCAGAGTAGCCCACCCCTGTCCTGAAGTGTATCTAAACTCAAAAACAAAAATAGAATATATTGTAGTCCTTAGATGTAATGGGCCCATTAGTTTTCTTTTGCGGGCTTTTCTCCTTTAGTTTCACCTGGTGATCCTGGCAGTAAAATGCTTCTTGTACTAGGGTGACAACCAGGGCCATCCCTACCCTGTATGCTGCTGGCAACCGATGACATCAGTGAGCTGGGCAGGAAGCTGGACAGAGCATCACAGGTTGCTAAGAGGGGGCTGTAGCCGCCCCTCACCATCAGGGCACAGAGCATTTCTCAGTAAGGCTTTGCAATCACAAGACATAGATAGCATGAGGGGGCTGAGTGACAACATGGATTGCTTGGTAGTTTCCAATGCTCATTACCAGTCAACCGGAGCATGGATAGAATCCAAACACAGTGCTATGTACACTGCGTGCACAATTATTAGACAAGTTGCATTTTTGAGGATTAATTTCATTATTGAACAACTACAGTGCTCTATCAATCCAAAATGTTAATAAACCTCAAACCTGAATATTTAAGAAAGTAAAAGTGAGGTTTTGGCTGTCTTAGAAGAATATCTACGTGTGCACAATTATTGGGCAACTATTAGTGTGCAGGATTATTATGCAACTAAATGGAAAACAAACATTTTCCCATCTCACTTGTTTATTTTCATCTGTTTAAAGTGAGAAAAATAAACAAACAACTCAAAATTTACAAATAAACATTTCTGACATTTTCAAAAATAAAATCGGCGGCCAACATATCCCCCTTTTTTTCAATAACCGTCATCAGCCTTCTATCCATGGAGTCTGTCACTTTTCTTCATCTGTAGACGATCAGCTTTTTGTGCAGCCGCAACCACGGCCTCCCAGACACTGTTCAGAGAGGTGAACTGTCTTCCTTCACCGTAGATCTTCTGTTTAAGAAGGACCCACAAGTTCTCAATAAGGTTCAGGTCAGGTGAGGAAGGGGGGCATGCCATTCTTTCATCTTTAATGCCTCTACTGGCTAGTCATGCACTGGAGTACTTCGGTGCATGCAATGGAACATTGTCCTGCATACACAGCATGGTCTTCTTGAAAGATGCAGACTTTTTCCTGAACCACTGCTTGAAGAAAGTGTCTTCTAAGAATTGGCAGTAGGTTCGGGTGTTTGATTTTG